AACCTCCATCACCTACACCCGTCCACCATAGCCGGACACCCCGACCCTTCTTCAACCTCCATCACCTACACCCATCCACCATAGCCGGACACCCCAACCCTTCTTCAACCTCCATCACCTACACCCATCCACCATAGTCGGACATCCCAACCCTCCCTCGCTTATCACCTCCCCCATCCAATCGAGAGCCTTAAGGGGGAGTCGCAAGGGGGAGGCACGGGACCTCGGATAGGATCGGTTAGGGTAAGTCAGTGAGCAAGGTCGATTAGGATGAGGAGCTTCTTGTTCTCTCTCTCTCTCTCTCTCTCTCTCTCTCTCTCTCTCTCTCTCTCTCTCCCCCTCTCTCTCTCTCCTTCTCCGACCGCCTTCCCCCATTCCTTCAAAACTCTCTAACCTCTCTCTCCCTTTTCTCCTCTCCCTCTCCGACCGCCTTCCCCCATTCCTTCAAAACTCTCTAACCCTTAACTCTTCCGTCACCCCTTCCCCTCCCCCATGGCATGTGACTAACCTCCACCCTCACCTGTCACTTTGCCAGGGAACGAACGGGAAGGAACTTAGTCCTCACTTGGTGGAAAGCGAGGGCAAGGGAAGGGCAGTCGGTCCCTTGTGCCACCAAGAAGGGAAGGATACTGAACTATTGAGAGCAATTGCGAAAGCGGAAAGGAGTGCTGATTTTGGACGAGGTCAGTTTGACTCAACCACCTCCCCTGACTGCATGACTAAGGTGAATGCATGGGCTGCTTGAGGGAAGGGAGGGGCAAGAAAACCAAAGGACCATGGAAGGGAGAGGGAAACTTAGGCTCGCAGGAAGGGGCGATGTGTTGATCCCAATGGGGATTGTACTTGGACATTTGTTTTTGTGTGGTCATGCGCAGGTGAGTAGCTTGGGACTATTCGGACGGGCTGGATCTACGGATGAGGACTAGAATGGGAGATTGGGCTATGGGAAAAGGACTTGGACCCGGCTAAAGTCGCGGGTGCGGGTTGAGTTTGAGACCGGTACTTGGGTGAATGTTTGATGCATGGACTCGGCTTGTGTGGGATTGCATGGAATGTCTCCCCCATGCGCGATGCGACGCCTGAAAAGACTAAGGGCGATCTTTGGTAGGTGAATGTGATGCTAGCGGTTCTCGCAAAAAAAGGGGAGAATATTGCGGCTAGGGGTTCGGGCGACGCGGCCTCACCCCAAGGATGTCGCCGGGGCTGCCGAGGGCCGCTAGGCCTAGTGAAAAGGTGCGTGGCCCAATGGATGACGCTTGGCCTGCGCGCGATAAGAAGATGAGACCTCAATGAACTTCCTGGACTGCCTGCGTATTGGAAGGAGCAATTGCCTGGTCAAACCTTAATGAATCAAGAAAACGCTACGAGTTCCAAAAAGCTACCATCTTGACGCGAGAGCGGAGCTACATCCCCCAATGTAAAGCCCTCTCGCAAAAGGCCCATCCCCATCCATCTCAAAGCACTAGGTGGGGGTGCCCCTGGGACAAACGACCCGCGCCCTGAGCATGAGCATGGGCGGGTCGAGCCAAATGGGACCCACAGTGGGGTCGACCGAGGCTCGAAAGTCCTTCAGGGTACGGTCCCTACAGCGTGTCCAAAGCTCAACCACGATCTATTAAAGAGGAGGTGTACCAGATCATTAAAGGGGGAGATATTTGTGTCGCAGGGAGAACGGGTGAATTGGAACTCGCCAGGGGGAATGCGGCGCACCATTATCATGCTCAATGGGTTAGAGATAGCAGCAGTAGAAGCTGAGCCGGTGGTCGATATCATCTGGGACCAACTCCGGGGGCGCGGGCCACAGGTCCATTTCATCTTGGAGAGCGACGGATGTGATAGGGTGAACGCGACACTCGACTAGGGACAGCTGGGAGAAGGATTATTCGTGACACTGTGCTGGAGGCTCCGCACCCTGGGCAGAGCCCGGGACCAGGGAGCCAGAGAAAGTTTATGGGAAACCTAGAAAGTTTATGGGAAACCTAGGGAAGAAGAACCTACAGACAAGGTCACTGCTGCTAAGAAAAAAATTTAGGTATCAAATCCCGATCTTCCCCATGCTTGAGATCGGTGACAACCTTAGCAAATTGCTAGGAACCATGGTGTCAGTATCGTTTCAGACCATGTTGCAGGCCAGCCCCAGGTTGCTCAAAGGGCTTAGACAACTGTTGACTCAGCGGCGAGTAGAGATAGACGAAAACCCCGAATCACCGGAAGAGGAAAGAGAGGAGGAAGCTCCGCAAGAAGTCGCTAATCTTCAAAGAAGTCCCGGGGATTTGGAGGACCTAGAGAAAGCCTTTGCGGACATCCGCCTGAGCTTTCCAGACCGCGAAGGCAGGGAGGTTATGAGGGCTCCACCAGGGACGAAGCTTAGCTTCCATGCGCTGCCCGTAGGAAAGCTAAAAGTGCAGATCGGGACACATCACACAAATGCGCTAGTAGATGGAGGTGCGGAAATCACACTCATACGAAGAGATTTCGCAACAATTACCGGTTGCGTAGTTAACGAGGAGGTAATGAGGAGCATACGAGGGGCAGGTGGCGAGATATCGTTTTCGGGATACGTCATCAAGTGTGCGGTCAAGGCAGGCATCCGGGAGTCGATTTGGTCATTTCAGCGGATGACCGTGCTAGACGAGATGGACCATGACATAATCCTCAGGAGACCATGGTGTGCCAATGTAGAAATGATAGGGATGCATCTGCATGATGGCACATACATGGTAGACCTAGAGGATCCAGTAACGAGCCGTGGGGAGCTCCTCCGACTCATCGGGACCGGAGGGGACCCGCCTAAAGGAAAGTTAGCAACATGGTCACCATCGTTCGAAGATAGCGCACGAAAAGGGGCTTTTGAGCGAATGGAGGGTATGCGAGAGAGGGTTGGCATTATGATTGAGGAAGCATTCAATAAGAAAGAATGGATCAAGATGGGCCTGCCCCAGATGAAGAGAAGGCAGAAGGACGAAGTCTTAGGTGTTATGGTGGCAGAAAGGGAATCAGAAGTCGAACTCGGAGCCAGCCTGCCCAGGCGGAAAGAGGTGCGGAAGGAGGTACCGGAAACCGCACTCGAGATCCCCGACCTATTGCAGCTCATCAAAGCTATCAGGTATCACAAAGTGGGGGTGGACCCGGCGACGCTGGCTAAATTTGAAGGAGAAGTACAAAAGGGGTATTGTCTGAATGGGAAAATAGTCAGTACTCAACCACGGGTCGCGGAGGCAACAGGAGTAACCCCGACCGTTCATTTTTAAGGAGAAAGATCGCGGAAGGAAGTGTTCGAAAGTACAAGCCAGTAGGGAAGAAAGCGAAGCCAGTCTCCATCCTGCTAGAGATATCTAGGGACGAGGCTATGGAGAAGGAGGAGGAAGTCCTTCGAGTGATCCGAGAGAGGCGAGCGACGGAAGGGCATCGGATACCAGATGAGATAGCGGATACAATGAAGATAGGAATAGAGGGATTCTTAACTGAAGAAGAAACCCGCCTGATCAAAAGAACCTGCTAGGAGTTTCATCTGGCATTTGCCTTTAGTGATCACCAAAAGGGGCGGTTGGACGCGAAGCTAATTCCTCCGGTCAGAATCCACACGGTAGAGCATGAGTGCTAGAATGACAAGGGTCCGTCCTACGAATTTGGGATAGCAGGGGAAGTGACAGACCTTCTTCGAGCAAAGATGGACTCCTTCGTCGCGGAGCACACGGCGTCACCATACGCGAACATATGGATCGTCTTTCGAAAACCCAACAAGACACTAAGATGGATTCAAGATCTGCAGAATTTGAATACAGTAACCATTTGAGATGTTGGTTCGCTGCCTCAGGCTGATTTATTAGCGGAGTCTCATGCCAGCCGGAGCATTTACTCCCTGATAGACTTGTATTTAGGGTACGACCAACGTCCATTGGATGCTCGGGACATACCATACACCGCAATGCACACCCCCGTAGGACAGTTGCAGATGCAGGTAACCCCTATGGGCTTCACGAACGCAGTAGCCGAAGCACAAAGGAGAATGCTCACCGGAGCCGGAGATATGTTTTTAGAGAAATGTGAGCCCTACATTGATGACAACCCGATCAAAGGCGCCCAAGAGAAGGACGAGACGGAAGTTCAACAAGGAATTTGAAGATTTGTATGGGACCATCTACAGGACATCAAGGACTTACTCCGCCCATTCCTAGTATACAACATCACCGCTAGCGGACCAAAGAGTATTCTAGCAGTACCAGAAGTGACCATACTGGGATTTCGTTGTGGCGCATACGGTAGGAAACCTGACCCGGCTAAGACAGACAAGATATCACAGTGGCCCACAAGATATCACAGTGGCCCAACACCTCGCGCACAACAACAGAGGTAAGAGCATTCTTAGGGGTGGTCGGCTTTTGGAGGATTTTTATTAAAAGTTATGCCAAGATTGTTGAGCCTATCCGGGCCATGATCAGAGAAGAAGTTTTGCCAAGATTGTTGAGCCTATCCGGGCCATGGATTGGACGGAGGAGCGAGGAGTTGTCCAAACCCTGAAGGACATACTTACATCTGAGCAAGTCGCCTTGTCAGCACCCTGTTTTAATGACGAAGTGGGACGACCATTCATCCTAGAGACAGACGGAGGACCCTTGGCCGTAGGAGGCGTACTGATTCAAAGGGATGAGGAAGGAAAGGAGAGGCCAATTAGGTTTGAAAGTAGAACCCTCAACTCCGCAGAACGGCGGTACTCACAGTTCAAGAAGGAGGTCCTAGCCATTTTGCATTGTCTCAAGACCTTCCAAGCCTACCTATGTGGGAGGCGGTTCATCCAAGAATCGACCCAACGTCTTCCACTCCTTCGGGCGTGATACAGACCCGACTCTACAAGCGTATAGACCCGACGGTGGGAAGATGGGTAGGATTCATCTGGCAGTTCGATTACAAGATCGAACAAATTACTGGACTAAAAAACAAGGTTGATGGACTGAGTCGGGTCTGTATCACGCCCGAAGGAGTGGAAGACGTCGAGCCCGTAGACGTGTTCCTCGAATACGAAGGAGGGACACTTGCAGTAGATAATGAAATGATGGGCGAAGGATGTGCGTTGGGAGAATTATTGATTCAGACCTTGGAAAAGAGGGCCCCTGTCGTAGTAGCAGAACTTAGAGAAGGACCAGTCACCACTCGAGGACGCAAGGAGGAGAAGGACTCGTGGGGAGCGATAGTAGGACCAAAGGAGGAACTGATAACAATGGCGGTTGAGGGAGGTCGGGAAGCCGTGATGAGCCTAGTGGAGTCTTGGGAACGAAGGGAGTTGCAACTGATGGTAAACCAGATGCAGGAGAGAAACGACGAGGACCAGGAAGGGAGGGTTTTTTTTTATGTTCAGATATACGAAGGGATTTTTCGGGAGATTGGGTTGTTGCTGGTAGGAAACAAACATCCCATGGAAGTCAGCCTTAAAGCAAGGGAGGAGGCCGAGAGGTACGTCCTAAGGGGTGGCCATCTGTTCAAAAGGGAGGAAGGTGTTATGCCTAGAAGAGTTGTGTGCGGGAGGTCTAGGCAGTTGGATGTGATCCAGGCAATGCACGACGGACTAGCAGGAGGACATCGATGGTCCAAAGGAACTCTTGCAAAGATGACACCGCTCTATTACTGGCCAGGCATGCCAGGTATGGTTGCCATGTACCGCCAGACCTGCCTAATCTGCCAGGAGCGGAGCTCGGCACGCGTCTTCGAGTCGCTTAGACTAACACGGGTGCTGGAGCCGGGACATCTGGTCCACCTTGACCTTGCAGTTATGCCTGTATCAACAGATGGGTACAGGTATATCCTGGATGCGCGAGACAACTTGAGTGGGTTCGTGGAGGCGGTCGCTCTCAAGAAAAAGACGGGAAGAAGCGTAGCAAATTGGGTAGAGGACTTCTACCTGAGGCATCCCTTCATCAAGAGGTTTATAGCAGACAATGGAACAGAATTTGTGAACCAAGGAGTGTTGGGAATGCTTAAAAGGCTTTGCGTACTGATCAAACTCATTGAGTCGTATCACCCGGAAGCCAATGCACCTGTGGAAAGAGGGCACCGGACCTTAAAGAACACGATTGCGAAGCTCGCGGCGAACAATCTGGGGAGCTGGCCTAGGTATCTTAAACAGGCTGTCTTCTCAGAGAACATGACACCTAAGAGGACAACGGGATGTATCCCCGCAGAACTGTGGTACGGAAGAGAGATCGATTTTCCCGTGGAAGCCTTGATACCAACCTAGAACAGGTTAGATGACGATCCGCGTATGACCACAGAAAAATTAATTGAGGCAAGATGTCAACAAGTTCTTAGGAGTGAGGAGGTCATGAAAGACATCGCCAGTCGGGTACTAGACAGGAGAATGAGGGACAAAGCAAGGTGGGACCAGGTTAAGAATATCAGAAAGGAGCCACTTCAGGTGGGCGAGATAGTGTTGATAACAAACTCGGCACTGGAAAACACTTGGTCTGGGCAACTGGGGAGGAGGTTCAAAGGTCCCTACCGGGGTCGCCAAGCGGGTGGGACTAAACACCTTCGAAATGAAAGATTTGGATGAAATTGGATTGAAAGGACCCTTACCGGGGCACCGATTGGTCAGGTTTCTAAGTCGGGACCCAGTGGAACAATGGCTTCAGGAGGCCGAGGATAAGGAAACTAAGGGGTTACAAGCCAAGGACTGACAGCGGCCTTGCCCACACTATGGTTTTGTCTCTGACGGCGTCTGCGGGACTGCCATTTTTTCTTTTGGGGATGGGGCAATGGTTTGGACTGACTGAAGTTGGAAGGTGGGATGTCCTGGGACTTTGTGATAACGGGTTTTGTGTGACGAAGGGGAAGGTTGTCGGGAGCATTGTATCATAGTTTTTGATGGGAAAATAATGGGATCATTACAAATGTGGCATCTGCATGAGAGGGGAATGTATGATAGTGGCCTGGTGCGAAGGGTACTGAGAGCATTCTGGGGGAAGGGAAATTGCCTATCGAACTGGGGGAACGTGTGTATGAAGGGTTTGGCGGGCGTTGATTTTGTTATACAGGACCAGGAAGGAAATACGAGAAAAGCAAAATGGAATTCGGCAACGAAAATGATAGCGGGCCAATCAACAGGCCTACCGAAGGAGGAGGAACAGGACCAAGTCGCGGGAGGAGGACTGCAAAAAGAAAATTGTACATAGGGTACATGTCCAAACATGTAGTAGGCAGGAGGGCGAGAAAACGAGTGTGTAGAGGGCCCTCGCCTCTCAGAAAGAGGGAAGGGATATATATCTCATCAGGGAGTGAGAGCGAGGAAGGGAAAGGGGAGATGGGAGAAGGGGTCCAGGCCTCTGACAAGGGAGGGGCCGAGAGATGCGAGCAGCATGAGTCTTAGCATGAGGAGAGCGAAGGGAGACAGGACATGTATGACGGACGTGAGGATGGGGAAGAAAGCAGGGAAAGCCCGCTTGAAGAGCGGAGTGGCCATGACAGTTGTGAGGGGAGGTATCCGGACTTTGAGGAAGGGTATGGGAGGAGGACGGAGATTCCCTGCAATCTAGATCGAAGGAATTTCACGGGTGAGTTCAGCCCCGTGCGGACGGAAGAGGATGTGGACGAGGAGGAAGAAGTGCAAGAGGTTATAGAGATTAGCAGTGACGACGAAAGGGATGAAACCTCAAGGCCCAGAGAAGAGAGGCGACCCCCGGCGAGCCAACCTTGCGAAGAAGCCTTCACATAGGAAGATGAGTTTGGGTCGACACCCAGTCATTGGTCCCAACAATGGCTCAGTGTAATTGGATTATCAAGACCAGGGAACTCCCGGAGGCGGGAGTGGCGGCCAAGCCTTTGGATTTTTACAGTGAGAGGGGATTGCAAGAAATTGCGAAAAGGAAGAAAGAAATCCTGGCTTCCTGCCTGGGAGTTAAAAAGCCACCAGAAAGACAAGATGGGTAGGGGACCGAGCAAGATGAGACACGTGACAGCGATAGGGACTTAAATGTTATCAGTATTGAACAAGAATTGTGCTTTTTCTTTTGCAAACATTGGAATGACAGAATGTGTATATTATGAGTAAGCTTGCTAAGGATGAGTAATGAAAGGGCTAGCTAAGACTGTGCCACGATGAGTTCGAAAATAGCATTTTGGAGCTACTTTCTGGATGAGCTACCTTCGAAAGAGTGTATGCAAGACATTGACACGAGGCATGGGATGAGACTGGTTGGGAAGGGTGTACTGTGAACTTTGGATGGAATGAGGATTGTGCCTTTGAGAAGAAACTGTGAGTGCAGATTGACGAGCAAAGCGAGGCGTTGAATGTTGGTCGAATACAACAAAGGTTAGGGAACCTATGGGTTAAGGGGCGTGAAGAACACTCCTTCCCTAGGAGCCTAATCCAACTGAGTCATGAATGAGTCTGAAAACAGCCAAGAGCTGAGAGATCAGAAAGCGTGAAAATAGAGGGGGTGCCCCTGTCTGTTTGTTATGGTTGAATGACCGGGTGGGCTAGTGCTGCGTGGGGTTGCGATCCTCAACTCGAGCACTAGACGCTAAGTCGGATGTATGCATGGATAGTAAATTGCATTGAGAGAGGATGAAGGGAACCGCACGCAGAAAACTGAAAAGAAAGGACCATCTTCTAACCCCCGAGACAAAGATGGGATCCGTGTCCTCGAGGCCCACCCCCTCGGGTGCTAACATTGGAATGGATAAGGACGGCCCTAACCAGGCTGTTCGACTTGAGAATGGAAGGGAATGACCCTAACCAGGTTGTTCAACTTGAGAATAGAAAGGAATGGCCCTAACCAGGCTGCTCGACTTGAGAATGGAAAGGAATGGCCCTAACCAGGTTGTTCAAGTTTGAGAATGGAAAAGAATGACCCTAACCAGGTTGTTCATAAATGACCCCTGATAAGGGTCGTTTCTTTTGAAATAGGCACTGGGGTTCCTTGCATGAGTGATTGAGAAAGGTTGATTAAGGATGAGCTGGAATGAGTAATGTGAAATAGGAAAGACCGGTGGGTCGGCCATTGAAATAGCCATAAGAATGGATGGAAGAGAATGATGCCTTGAAAGGAGAAGGGCATGATAAAGGAGGCCAAGCCTTAAGACGAGAAGGGCATAGGTCGTTGGGACGGTCATAAGGACAGGGTATTGAGAAATGTGAGAGTTGAGGATTGAAGGTGGGCCGACGGGTCGGCCTTGAAAGATGGATATTGAAAGAGCGACCATCAGATCGGTCACATGGGTTGGCCTTGTTGAAGAGAGGTTGTCGGACCAGCCATGAGAATCAGCCTTGAGAAAGAACGGGAAAAGGCATTGGATTGAGCGTTTTCTTGAGAATTGGATGTTTTTTATTCCATAATCAGGGGACCCCAGGCAATTTGAGGAAAGGTCGTTGGGTCGACCATGGAAATAGCAAGAGATTGAGGGGGATAACGATGCATGCACCGCGACCCCAGGACCTCTACCTGTCAAGGGAAAAGTCCCAGCGTGACCTATTCCTCATAACGAAGGATAGGGGTTGAAGGACCAAGGTATCATTCTCTTTGATCGATGCTCACCGTCCGGAACTACCTCCGACAACGAGCTCTAATCGAGGAGTTCAAACTGCGCCTCATACTGAGAACTTAAACGTCAAGGGCGTGGAGCTAAACGGGCAAAAGAGCCATTCTTTTCCTAAGTCTCATTTTCTCAACCCAACCACACGCCATACCGTAGAGGGGCAGCGTGGCCGTTGGCGATAGACCAAGGTTGCTCGCATTAAGTTGAGCGGCACTGCCCAAAGGGAGGGGTCGGGCGGGGTACCGGGTGGAAGCCGCAACCACCACAGGGCGAGTGACACCGCTCTACCGGATCATTACAATCGTTCTGTGACTAACCGCGAGGTCTTCGTAACTGCACTCGCAGACTAATAAGAGAGCCCCAACTCTCTTGAAACGAAGAGGCCGGATCCAAGAAAACACCACTTGGGAGGAACGATTTGCGAGGGGGCCACTTGTGGTACGATAGGGTCTTGGGAGGCGTGGACTGGACCCGCCTAACAGATGCGAGGAGACACCTCAATGATGATGCCCATCTCCAGAGAAGTGGCCGCCGGACTGGAGTAGTTGATGAGGTGAGTTATCAGCGGGGGAGGATTGATCACCCTTCCTTTTTTAGGCTGATAGGCCGACATTCGTCTACTCAGTTGGCAGGGCAAGTCTGCGTACCTCCAAGTGAGAACTAGTCGTGTGATGGGGACATCACATTTTGAATGGGGGAAAGATGTGCCATCTACCGATGACAAAGCGTGCAAAAAAATAAGGTTGCCATGGCCTCAAGAAATGTATGTGTAATTGATTTTGCGTAGGCTTGAGAAAGGTCTGGCAAGATGTCCAGAAGAAAGAGAAATGTATGTATAATTGACTTTGCGTAGGCTTGAGAAAGATCTGGCAAGATGTCCAGAAGAAAGAGAAATGTATGTATAATTGACTTTGCGCAGGCTTGAGAAAGGCTTGGCAAGATGACCAGAAAAAAAAAAAAGGCATGTAATTGACTTTGCGTGGGCTTAAGAAAGGCCTGGCAGGATGTCCAGAAGAGAAAGGCATGTGTAATTGACTTTGCATGGGCTTGAGAAAGGTCTGGCAAGATGTCCAGAAAAGAAAAAGGCATGTAATTGACTTTGCGTGGGCTTNGAAAGGCATGTGTAATTGACTTTGCATGGGCTTGAGAAAGGTCTGGCAAGATGTCCAGAAAAGAAAAAGGCATGTAATTGACTTTGCGTGGGCTTGAGAAAGGCCTGGCAAGATGTCCAGAAGAAAAAGGCATGTAATTGACTTTGCGTGGGCTTGAGAAAGGCCTGGCATGATGTCCAGAAGAGAAAGGCATGTGTAATCGAGCCTAATCGACTTTGCATGGGCTTGAGAAAGGTCTGGCAGGATGTCCAGAAGAGAAAGGCATGTGTAATTGACTTTGTATGGGCTTGAGAAAGGTCTGGCAAAATGTTCAGAAGAGAAAGGCATGAAATTGACTTCGCGTAATTGACTTTGAAAGGCCTGGCAAGATGTCCAGAAGAAAAAGGCATGTGTAATTGACTTTGCGTAGGCTTGAGAAAGATCTGGCAAGATGGTCAGAAGAAAGATACATATGAAATGGATTGGGTAAGCATACATGAAAAATTGATTGAGCTTGGGAGCAAGAAAGGTCAAATGAGGGAGACATGCATGGGAAAAAGACAGGACTAGATAAAAGCCGGGCAGAATGATTTGGAAGAAATACGTGTGAATTTGGTTGAGCTTGAGATTGAGGAAAGGATGACGAGAGACATGGATTGCACAACCGAAGAGCCGAGTAAAAGAAGCACTGAGGGCGACAGGGGCTATAAAGGACACTTGGTTAGCATGGGATGGAAGGGGGACCAGCCGAAGGGCATTTGGGATTGCGAGGCTCGGGGGAAAAGCGGGGGCAGTAAAAGGGAAAAACGAGAAAAGGTTTGATGTACTACGGGTGATGAATGAGACAAGAAGAAGCTTGATGTACTACGGGTGATGAATGAGACGAGAAGAGGCTTGATGTACTACGGGTGATGAATGAGACAAGAAGAGGCTTGATGTACTACGGGGGATGAATGAGACGAAAGGAGGCTTAATGCTCTGAGTGTGATGAATGAGACGAAAGAGGGTTTTTTTTCTCTGAGGGTGATGAATGAGACGAAAAGGGGTTTGATGTTCTAAGAGTGATGAATGAGACGAAAGGGATCTGATGTTCTAAAAGAGTGATGAATGAAACATAGCCAGCATGAAGGACAAAGAAAGATTGAACCCTACACACCTCTCTCTGCCCCAAGGAGCAGAGACTAGAAGAGATCCTAGGAAAGAAAAACAAGGAAAAAACAAAAAGGACCTTGGCAAACTAACTACCCATCACGTCTCTCCTCACCTCCTCCGTCCATCTATCCCCCCAGACACCCGCTGACAGAAGATTGGTGCGCGATGAGGACATCGCGAATGAGTGGGGGGAATGTGTCGGGACTGGTGGGTCCCGAATAACATCCCGCCACTCGAGAGACTGTATATAGCCAGATTGTGCACGACAGAGAAATCTGGAGTAAGGAAGTAAGAGAGAAAAAAGACAAGGGACTAGGCCATTGGAAAGAATGATGCCC